TGTGTGTGTATCTGTGTGTGTGTCTGTGTGTGTCTGTGTGTTTGTGTTGAACTTCCCACAGCCTCTACTTTCTCACCACTTCTGCATTTTCAACCTCATTGCTCCCAGTTGGACAATGCAAGGCTCAAAGGTTTATCTGTAACCCATTTGTCTCTATTATAGGTTTCTAAACTTTAATTAAATGAGAGAAATTGAGGATCTCAATCCCCAGTATCTATGGGTGTCGCTCGCGCCATCTAGTGGTGAGAAAGTGGAGCATCCTTTTTCTCCTGCAAGTTTTGTCAAACTGGGGGTTGCTCCCCTCACCAAATTCACATCACATGGAAAGAGAAAAAGCCGTGCAAAACAAACATCTTTTTTACCTTTAAAATCCTCACCTGCAAACGCTGAGATGGGTTCTGAAAGGAAAAAAAACTCTGAGTTAGATAAAGGGAAGATGTAATTGAATGAACATGACAAAAATGGCTTTGTAATATGTTACAGAAAGTGGCCCACTTCTTGCATGTTTTCTAGACTGTGTCTAACATATCGTCATCACTGGGAAAGGGTGAGTACAGAGGATTCTCAAGTTGCTTTGGATTGAAAAAGTCCTTTGTAAAGTAACGGGTCCCCAAGGCATTGTAATCAGTCACTTACCACTGATTACTTTCTCAGACCTCGGATTACTTTTAGATGCCCAAGCCCTGGGAGTTTCCTGGGGGATTGAGGCAGTCCCAGTTGCTTCTGACATCATTAGGCACAGATGCCCAGGACCCAAGAAAAGCACTTGGTAACTTATTGCAGCAAGTCTGCTGGTTGGAATCAAGTCTTTTCCTTCTCGGGATTCCTTTTTCTGTTTGGGGAAACATCCATGGCTCTGATGGGAGGTGGTCGGGTCCCCTTAGGGAATCCACAGCCTTGAGTAAAACTGTGCATTTCAGGAGGAGGGTCTGGCTCTTAGCACTTCTGACTAGAAAGATAGGTAGGGGTGTCCTTCCTATGCTGTTCCTCTGCTATGCCATGCTTAATCCTACAACTCCAGACTCTTGGGCATTAGAAGTATTAGCGTGAAAACAAAATGCAACATTTTATTTCTTATGCCATAATTTTCCCTGCAGTTCATTCATGTGAAAGAGTGCCGTGGGTAATTGTGTTATCACTCTTGTATAGCATGTGTACCGTTTTTGCCCACCACTGAAGGCTTCCATTTAAATCCATCAAATCTTTCCAGCATGTAATTCTGACTGGCAGGCACTCTTGTCCTCTAGCATTTTCTTTGCTAAAAACTGGAGTCTGATGATGGGATCTTGGCACCCCGAACTTTTATAAACTTAATGCACATCTATTTGTGATTGGGAGATGGATATAAACCTTCACCTCATCTCATACCCCTCCCACCCTTAGCCCAACACACTGCTATGGCCACACTTCACCTCCTGAGCAGACTGCCATTACTCTACCTACTGGGAACACTGTGTTTTAATTGCTTCCTTTTATATATCCCACTCCTTAGCATCCTATTTGAAACAGCTACGGGGAGAGGGGTTGTCACATACCCATGCAGTTCTCCAGTGGGACATCAGTGCTTAAACGAATGTCGTCGATGGCAATCTCTCCCGATCGTCCTTTCCCTATCACTCCCTCGAACACGATCTAGAGCCAGAAGGACAAGAGCCACGGTTAGTGTAAAGACTCCCAATTTCTGTTAACAGCCGTGTGTGTGTGTGTGTGTGTGTGTGTGTGTGTGTGTGTGTGTGTTATTGTACCTGGCACACATCTGTGCACCACATGGCTACATCTCTGGAGATCTTAATTTAAGAAGAGTTGGTTCAAATCAAGTGCATATTTGAGAGGATAAGAAAATATAGCAAGTTGATGGATATTGTTGTCCAGTAACAAAAATATACTGATTAAAAGGACCACAATTGGAGTACACTTAGAGGGGGAGGGGTGTTGAAGTTTCCCTAGCTATTTCTGAGGTTCCTTTCTCATAAATTCTTCAAATGGTCAACCCGGGTTATTTGAAAACCCAGAGGCCATGAGCAGGTAAGGGTAATGAGGGAACCCTGGCATTTTGGTTTGGATTGCCTTCTAAGTGACCTCTCCTTGCACACTGACTTGGAGATCCATTGAGACAACAGCAGGGAAACAGTTTCCTCTTCTAGTGACAGTTTACTGAGCATCTACTATGTGTTAGGCACACAGGTGAGATAGTAACAAAAATCTCGTAAAACAAGAGCTCTGCCAGGAGAAGCCCACCTTGCAGAGGGTGAGACAAAAACTCCAACAGGTTCTTCTAACACCTGCACTAAGGCTAGCAAGTGGGGAGCCAGGTTGGGGAACGAGGGTCTTAGATGCCTTACAACCTCAAAAGTGCAGGCTGCAGCCTGCACATGGAAGCCCCTCAGCTCTGTGGTCTTTAATCATTCCTCATTCTCGCCCTCCCCAGGTTCTTTCTGCAAACGAGCACATGTCCTCTGGCAAGCTGAAGGAGCAGTTGGCTGCCTTACCAGCCATCTGTTGCTGTTCTTCATCTGGGGAGGAGCAGGTTAATGCTTTGGCTGGTTCTCAGCCACCTCGTCCACAGTGTTCTACTCCTACCCAAGATGTGGCTACAGATGCGTGTGCCCATCTGTGCCTCAGTCTCTTGCCCCATGGGCTAGAGACAATAGAAAGCAATTCCTGGAGCAGAGAGAGAGAGAGAGAGAGAGAGAGAGAGAGAGAGAGAGAGGCCACTTGATTTGGGCTCTCGTGGGTCCGCTAGCCAGAGTTTAATGTCTATCCACCTATGCTCCTTCTTGGATTTCTGCTCTCTGGAGCAGGTCTGAGAGGGCATGGCCACAGTCACCTCCATTCTGACATTCGGAGGGCTCCACTACCTTGGGTGTAGAGGGGTTGTTTGTGTTTATTTCCCTGGCTTGTGTGTCCCCCTTTGTCAGTCTACCTGATAGCAATCTAAAATAAAATGGAGAGAAGAAACATTTGTTGGAGAAGATTTCAGCAATATAAAAGGCAATAGGAGGAACAAAGAACCAAGTCTGGGTGTAGAGATAGGCACATTCTGAATAACAAATAAGAGTGTCATTTAGTTGCCATAGCAACATAAGAAACACAATGAAAACAGCGGAGCTTAACCACGTCCCTTAATGATGAATGGGCAAGGCTCTTTGAAATATTGAAAAAGGGATCAAAATGATTCTCTTGCATCTTGCGCCCCTTTTCTTCCCCGACTCACCTGATACTCCATGTCATAGCTGGGCAGGATAATGCGTCCATGCTTCCATTCACTGCCCTGGTCCTCACGGATGACCCAGAGGAGTTTGCTTTCCTGGCTGGCTTCCCGAACCACCTGCAGTGCCACCCCGTGGCCACCGGTAGCTTGGTACTGGAACTCCATGCACACAGGGCTTCGGGGCAGGTGCACAGGTGGGCTGATGAGCCGCCCATACTGGCCCTCTCGCCGGCCGTCACTCTGTAGTCTCAAGAAGTTCTTGTCATCTGGGGGAGACAAATCCAAACACAGGTGGTAAATGCTTGGGAAATATACCACTTCACAACTGTGGCCCCTCCATCAAAAGGTCGGACTAGAGTTGGGGTATTCTCGGTGTTTTGAAACACAGTGGGTCTTGTTATGTAGGTCAGGTTGGCCTTGAACTTACAACCTTTCTGCTTCTGCCCCAAGAGTGCTCATACTGCAGGTGTGTGCCACCATGTTGGGCCTGCTGTGCTCTTTCTAAGGATTCTTCAGAGTCTTGATTCAAATGCTGCAACCTCTTGAAGCTCTTTCTTCAATCTCAAGTCACATTGGTCCCTCTTCCAGCTCCTTGGATCACTTGTGCCGTGTCTCTTTCCTATACAGCCCCTGGCATGGTCAACCTGAAATCTTGGCTGCGCACAGGCTTGTCTCTTCTCCCTAGATTCTAAGAGGCCTGACCCATGTCTTACTCATCTCTGGCTTACCCAAAGGGCCAATGCTGTCTAATGAACTGAATTACAAGGGAACAGTTTATAGAGGTGAAGTGGCTGCCAGATTAGAGGGTGACTCTGGCCAGGTGGCTTATGCTTCGAGTCTTTGTTGTCTGGCTGGGCACTGTCCAAATGGAGGACATTAAAAACCTTCTGTCTCTGCCAGGGATGGTAGATGATGCCTGGGCCTCAGTAACTGTCATTCATGTCAACTTTAAGCAGATAAAGGGTGGAGGTGGTCAGACATGCCACTTTCTTCCTGGACTTGACCCTTCTCAAGCAGCCATGCATGTACAGCAGCAGTGGTCTAAAAGGTATGGCCATTATTGTTAACAAAGGCTGTGTGTTTAGCAGAGAATATACATGTCCTGGGAAATTAAGGGTTCACTGTCCAAATGCTTCAAGAATGGGCTTTTTGGCAGATTGGTTTTTAATCCATCCGGTACTTATGCAGAAGGCTGAGCTCTTGGTACAGTTGGCAACCCTTGTGCCTCACAGACACAGGTGCAGAGATGGGCACCTACAACCTGTGTTCAGAGAGCAAAGGCAGAGGAGAAATGGGAGTTCTCCCGATCTGCTTTGGGCCCTGAGACAAGGGTCATGGTTCGATAAACTCCTCTGCAAGCCTTCTGGAATGCCGAGTTAGCCTGAGACATGAGCACAGGGCTTTTTCAGTCAATAGGGAAGGCGAACACCTTGGGTTTGTTGGGGAAAGACAGGCTCGAATTCCAGAAGGCTGGGTGAGCACCCTCTCCCAGATGGAGATCTCTGATTTGCTGCTATTACACCTGCTGGCATTCTCTTGCTAGGAGAGTGCTAAACCTATGGCAGACCTTCCAGCAGCAGGCCTGTTCAAGGCGCAGATAAGGGAGAGGAAGCTGCCTCCAGAGCACATTTTAATGATGGGGTCTGCTGAGAAGGGATGCTGATACCATCGCCAGACACTCAGTGATCTTCCAAACCTCTGTTTCCCCATCAGATCTTTCTGCTACCACTTTTAATGACAATAATTATGGCTCAAAATTGCACAATGCTTTACAGGTTACAAAGCACACTGGTATGTATTATTTCATCTCATCCTTGCTATATGCTTGCTAGCAAGACTTCCGATTTTTACTTTGCACACAATGGAGAAACCAAGAAAGGTTAAAGCAATTGTCCAAGGGGGAAATGATGATTCAGAAGTAGATCCCAGACTTAACTGAGGGAGTCCCCACTTTTTTGCAGTAAACTCTTTATTTCAGCTGCCTGCAGGTGTCTTGCCCCAAATCCTTGCAGTTACTTTCTGAGGCAAAACAGCTTCTTCCTGGGCCTGCACCTCCTGGTTCTTTCCCTTCTCCCCATAGTCTTGCTCTTGTAACCATTCTGGCACATGTAATATTGACCCCCTCACTTTCTTAACAACTCTAGTATTTGTTAACCATATCACTGATCTTACCGACCTTTAACAGGAATTGATGCCATTTTTCATGGTAACTACCCACTAGCTGGCATTCTTAGCTGGGTCATATGTGTCTTTCTTACCATCTAAGATTTTTAAAAAATATTTTTATTTAATGTGTGTGTGCATGCTCACATGTGTGTATGTGATTGCACATATGAGTGTGTCACAGTGCACACATGGAGGTCAGAGGAGTATTTACAGGAGTTGGTTCTTTCTTTCCACCATGTGGGTCCCAGAGACTGAACTCTAGCCAACAGGTTTGGTGGCGGACACCTTTACCTGCTGAGCCATCTTACACTCTCCCATTTCAGATAGTCTTGCACACGTAAGGTTTAACACTGCCTGTTTCTCCTTTCCTTAGTCCATATATATCACACTACTCAGGGAAATTGGCTTTCATGAATGAGTAAATGAATGAATGACAAACACACTGAGAAAAAAGAATGCTATGAATGAGGACAGAGGGAGAATCTGCTGGCCTCTGCCAAGCCTTCAGATTCATGTAATCCCTTTGCCATCGCCTGCTTTCCTGAGCCAGCAGCCCCCTTTCAGAGGTGAGGCAACCTAACACCAAGGTAACCTGTGGAGGCTCCCTGCAGACTGGCATGCCAGTGAGGGTCCCCCTGATCTTCTGTGCGCCTGTAACTTCCAAGCCCTTACTCTTTCCACCCCATCTATAAAGGAAAGCACATTTGAGAGACTTCTTATTCAGCCTTCTCCCTTCCCAGTTTCACAAATAAGACCCACTTGCTGCCTGAGAATTGCTTGTCGGCAATTCTGTCACTTGTGTGAATTTGCATTCTTAAGGGAAGGAGTCGTTACAACTGGGAAAGCCAAATGTGTGCGGGTGTGAAATGGCGGGCTGCAAGGATTTTATCCGGGTCTATCTTATCTACCCACCCTGTCATTAGAAGTCAGCCAGGCCAAAGGTTTCCCAGTCAGCTGGTCCAGAGCCTCCAGAGCCCCCTCCTTTCTCCTTTCTTCTCTCTCCCTCCTCTCACAGTAGGCTGATAATCACTATGCATGATTTACAGGACCATGGCAAGAACCGAGTTAATGCTAGTGGCGTGCTAAGCACGAGCAGCTGAGGGCTCATAATTCAGCGTTGACATCTGAGCTAATCCACGAGTTTGCAGAGTCTCCAGACAAGCAGGCCTCTGGATTTCACTCAGTTAAATCATTTGTGCCCCACTTGTCTGTTAAGTGCTATGAGCTCCAGGGAAGAAAGATGATATGTAAATTTAAGGAATTAGCAGGCGACATCAGTCAGAGGGATGCTGAGCTGCAAAACATCCCTGCCTGTCACTGAGAGAGGCCTGATTAGAACCAGGGACACCACAAAGGGAGACTCAGACCAGGAAAAGCTCAAGAAATGGGGGGGGGGGGCAGAAGATGAGGATGACCAAACTGAACAGATACTGTATGGCACTGTGCCTCTATCTTTAGTTTCTTGTCCATCCTGCAGTATCCCCCCCCCACTCCCCTGTACCCAGCACCCACCCCCAGCATTGCTAAGGTCCTGCTAACTAAGTAGCTCCAGCTGGCCCTGGATTCATACTCTTCCTGCCTGTTCCTCTTAAGTCCTGGGATTGGAAACATACCCCACTCCACACCAAGTTTGTTTTCTCCATTTTTAGAAAAGAAACTGAGGCTTGGAGACACGAGGTCGTGTTTCCAGGACCATGGCTATGGAGTGAAGAAAGCAGGGTCTGAACCCAGATGGGACTGAGTCAACTTGCTGGCTCTTCATCACCTGGGGTGGAATCTTGGCCAGATGCTCTAAACCTTTAAAAGCCTTAGTCTTTCCATCTGTACAACAGATATAATAGTGGTGGTGTTACTGCATAGGGTTGTAAGAATGGACCCTGTAAAGCACTTTGTATGGTAACAGGGCTATAGCAAGAGCGCAGCCCGGTTACTGATGCCACTCCATCCACTGTCTCCCACAGGCCAAAGACGACCATTAACCTGGGGAAGCTATTGCAAGGTGCAAAAGGAAGTATGATTTAACTGGAGGAGGGAATTGACAATCTTTGAACTAAGATGATTTCCCAGACCTGTCTCAACTCCAGGAAACAGCCAGCTCCCAGCTGTTCACCACATACCACCCACTACAGGTCTTCTGTGACCACCTATAGAAGATGAAATAAAATGTGATACTGTCTTGGATCTTGAGTGGGACCCCATGTGACTATTAGCATGGGCCAGAGGAAGTATGCAGAAACATCTTGACACCATGCCATTCATCCTTCCCTTCAGAAAGGTCCTCCGCAGGCCACACTGGCAATGTATTATCCAGGCCACAACCCAACTGTCAGAAACATCTTAAACTTAGTTTTACACTTCCTGCTGTCCTGTGGCCCTGTTTCCTCCATTCATCCCTTCATCCCTGATGGAATGAGCCAGTTTCTGTCCTCTGACTTTGCACCATCTTTATTCATAAGATATTAAAAAGCCCAGGGGCCTGAGGAGATGGTAAGTAAATAAGGCGTTTGTCTCACAAATTTGATGACCCAAGTTCAGGTCCCCAGAACTGAGGTAAAATCACGACTCAGTAAACCTACCTATTATGTATCCCTACATGGTGATGGGTGGGAGATGCAGGAGAAACAATGGAAGCTCTGGGCTAGCCTTATGTACAGTAGTGAACAAACACAGACTGCCCCAAACAAGATGCAAGGTAAGGACTGACATCAGAGGCTGTGCACTGTGGTACATATACACGCAAACACTCGTGGGGCGGGAAAGGGAAGAAGAGAGGTAGGGAAGGAAAGATGGAGAGAGAGAGAGAGAGAGAGAGAGAGAGAGAGAGAGAGAGAGAGAGAGAAAAAAAATAAATTAAAGTCTTTTTTTTGTTCTCACAATTAAGCCTTTATTTTGTGCTTTCCCAGGAAACACAACCCTAGTCCTTTTAAATGTCCCCTTTCTGGGTCTTTGTGGACCTCTATTGACCCCCTCTTTGGAGCTAAGTGCTTTGTCTCTGGTAAGTCCTCACATTCATACAAGATATTGAGATTGAATGCCTTCTGAAAGTGAAGATGGCTCTGAAATATCCCACCTACAGCCAACCACTGCTAGATACTAAGAA